TTTGTCCCAAAACAGGAAGCCTTAAGTCTTTAATTTAGGCCAGYCATTCAGGAAAACTTAATACGAAGTTGTTCTTTAACAACTTCTATCATAAATTCTTCTATGATACCATCGTTTTGTTGTATTTAACTGTGACATCGTTGYTTTAAAGAGGAAAACTGAGCTTCTGCTCCAACGTGTCTGAAAAAGAAAACGAACATGAAGCCAAACGGAGGCCAAGGCTCATTTGAATTTGCTTCACTTCGGTTGACAGACACCGTTGAGTGGCTCATGTTGCTACAGCGCTGGCATTTGTTTCCATTTGCATAGAGGACCGTTTGCGTCGGCGCTTTCTGTTCCACGGGTCAMCTGCAAACTACACGAGAGCCCGGCAGAACCCCAACGCGACAAAAAACACCCAGAAATACGCAGAAAACACAGAAACAGAACCAACATCTACAACCGGACRCACACCGGCACGGCAGCCTGGTGGTAAATCTTTACTTTTGATCCGTCCGGGACTCAAGAAGTCAAAGAGAAGTYTGTAGCTGAAACTGTGAAATGTCACCTGATACTACAGCCGAAGCTTCAAAACAATCTCACTCTGTCTTTGATGATAGTACCTCCTCRGGTTGTGACAATAAGAACCTTGATGGTGACTTAAAACGAGCAAAAACAGAAATATTTTGAAAWTCCCTCTGAATTCTGAAGGTTTATAACCAAKTAGGSCTGTTYATTGGCAAGAATTTAAAGATATGATACGTATCACGACGCAGGGTCACAATACATCACAATATGTTGTCATTTTTATCCAAAGGATTCGAAGTATAAAAGAGCATTCTGTATAACGTGCCTAAAATCTGATTAAATTCAGTTTATTTTTATGCAACCAGAAGAACATTGACATCATTGAGAACAGAGTTTATAGTTCACTTTTCTTCTTACGTCCATTAAGCCATAATTTAAAACGGAAACAGTGCTTTTGAGAACCGACAGCGTTAGGAAAAGAAATTTCAGTGTATCGATATTTTCTTACAACCAAGTGATCAGAGAGTCGTGCAGCTGCTTTCTGAGCCGACGCTTTTTGAAAAAAAATTGGCAAAACCGTATTCTWGGTTGTGCACATTATTTCCGCATTTTTTCTAATTGTAAGTTTAGCCGCTTGTTCCCAAAAAAACACGTCTAAATTTCACTTACTGACCAAAATGCAACAATGTTRATTTATAGTAACCATCTCAGCTGCAACGCGGGACAAAATGTAACTTTAGAGCAGGGGTGCCCAAACATTTTCCCTGAGAGGGCCAAAATTAAAATCAATCTGAGGGCCGTGGACCAAATGCAATAATATAAGAAATGCAAATACTTCTTAAGTAGAGTCGTTTTATATTAAAAGTGTGGTTGCCCACTTTTTTTTTCTTTCAGCCCATGGACATGGAGAAAATTCAACTTATGCCCAGGCAGCAAAGGCTCATGGGACTTTTCATAATTTAAAATTTGAGTATATGTGGTCTTATAAGGTGTGCAAATCTAGATATGGGCTTAAATCAATCCAAATTTCTCTTGTAGTTACTTGTATTTTATATTTAATCTTAACATAATTACAGTCTAGTAACCAGGACAACTGCTCGTGGGCCAAATGAAATGGCTTGGCGGGCCAATTTTGGCCCGCGGGCCCCACTTTGGGCACCTCTGCTTTAAAGCAACTTAATCTAGGACCAAAACTGTTCCTTCTCTAAAAAGAAGGGATTTGAGGACATTTAAAGATTTAGAGATGATCGTCTACCTCTTCTTACAACACGACATCATCCGTCCAGAACYTTCCCGGCTGAACCTGCTTCCAGGTTTCCAAAACGGCGCCACGGGATCAAAAATCAAAACGCGACACTTGACACCACGCCTTGGCGGCGGCGACGCATAGGCCGAAACAGACGTCGGGCTCGAACGGATCGGAACCGATCCACGACGTTTGGGTCGAGCCGGGCCCGGGAACTCGAGCCACGCAGTGCCACCCCTCACGGCGTGCTCCGTCAGGAAGTTAACCCCCAGCTGATGATGATGAGGGTCTTAAATCCAGCTGCTGGAGGTCTAACCAACCTCAACAAAAAATCAGCAACATCTCATCAAAAAACAAAGTTTTTACTTCTAAACACTCGTTCAAGCTGTCTGGAAAAAATATTCTATAAAAAGAATCAAATTGTTGCAAATTAGCCTTTTTTTTTTAACTGACCTGTGATTAAAACGTGTTTCTTCTGGTCAGGATTATTTTTATTATTAATTCTGTAACAGCTCATCACCTGAGTTACTACACATTAACCTGGTRTTATGTTTTACATTGAACTGACGTGTGTTTAGTTCCAGTAAAATCTATCTATAGCTCCGCATCGATGTGTCGTTCCTGCTTTGTGGCGCTGCTCGGCCCGTGTCAAACAAGGAAGACTTTCAGAATTATGTAAAACATTTCCAACACATGACCTCCTGTTATTGACTGACCGATCAGACGCTGAAAAAATAAAACGAGATAAAAAAATTTAAAAAACCACTCCCAACGGAAACACCCAAACTCCTAATTTGTCTTTTTCATCCTGACACTTCCGAAGGAATGAAGCTCCGTTACGGTGACAATAAGGAAAAGAAAAATTTAAAATTAAAAAGCCAAAGAGGAAAAAAAAAAGTGTTGGAGCAAAGCTTTATCTTTAAAATCTGCATCGTCCGACATACCTTCAGTTAAAACAGCAAACCCGTGTTATCACATGCCATCTAACACCCGCACCGGCACACAACTGCAACTCACAGGTCTGAAATGTGTAAGCGTCTTACCTGTGGGTAGTCAAAGTCAGAGAGTGGTGCTATGCTTTTGATGTATTCGATTCTGAACTGGTTCTCTGGATTGGCTAACGGGACCGGAGGTATTAAAGTGCTCATCGCAGACACTATAGTCTACAGAACAGAAGGGGAAAAAAAAGAAAAGAATAAACAACAGATATTTGGAAGGTTGAGTTCAGAAAACAGGACAACAACTCACCACTATGGCATCCTTCACGTTTTTCCGAATATCTTGAATTTTCTGTTTCTTTTCTCTGCGTGGGGACAGAAAACAGAAAGTCAGCCACAGGAAATGACAAAACATCCATCAAAGTGGCGAGATTAAACTAGGTTCGACTGCAAATTTATTTCTTTTTAATTTGCTTTTACAAACTATCACACATCTTTTCCAAATCAAATCTAAGTTAAGAATTCACTCCTAAAAATGTTCATTTCTGAGGCAAAATTTTAATTTTTGTTTTATTTCAMATGGAATACATTCTCAAACCATAATTTACACAGAACATGTTTGTGACCTGACATTCCCCTTATTTACCATCATTATATCTCCTACAAAACATCAGTTTTTCTGTTTTAGCTCATAACTAAATCAAGAAGGTTCAGATTTAATTTAGATATAAAAAAGGTGTGCAGGTCAGAAACTGGGTTTGGGGAACTTGGGATAAAACATTTCGTTTTGTTTCATATTTCCACGACACGTCATTATCACCGGCCGCTGAAGGCGATAATGTCTTTGCTTGTGTTTCTGTCTGTTAACAAAATATCTCCTGAACTAATCGAAGGATTTTCATGAAATGCTCCAAAAGTAATCACTGGATGTACATTTAGAACTGATTAAGCTCTGGAGTCAAATCATTTCAAGATGGCCGCCACAACTAATCTAACTTAGACTACACAAAGATGACTCTAATTCAGTCAAGTTTACAGATATTGAGCTACAATTGTGTGTGGCAGTAGCTGAGAGTCATCCTCAAYACAAACTCCGACCACCAGACRTTGCGCAATGTATTTGTTTAAATCTTTGGCATTGCTATCAAAGCCAAACTTGTTTCGTCTGTTGGCAAAATATCTCACAAACAACTAAKCGTATTTTTGTGAAACTTTCAGTATAATATCTCTGGATGATCAATTACAACTGATTAGGTTTTTGAGTCAACCCAATTCAACATGGCCAACACAGCTGATCTATTTTAACAAATAAAAAAAGGCTAAAAATTTAACTAATTTCACAGATATTGAGCTAAAATTCAGTACGGTAGTAGCTGAAAGTCATTCACAACAAATACTCAAGACCACTGCATGTGTATAAGATATTTGCCTAAATCTTTGCCAGTCAAACTTGTTTGTCCGTTAGCAAAATACCTCATGAACAACTGAACGCATATTGGTGAAACGTTCCACATATATTCACCTGATTMACATTTCTAACTGATTAACTATTGGAGTCGATTGAAGATGGCTTGCCAGAGCTAATCTAATCTACAAAAAAAGRCCCATAAATCACAGTTCTACAGATTATGAGCTAAAATTTGGTGTGGTAGTAGCCGCAAGTCCTCCTTCGAACACAAACAGATCTTGTAATATTGCACAAAAATGGGCTCGATGTATTTTCCCCTACAACCCCGTCCTTTCTCACGAGACGGTTTCGGTTAAAAACTTGCTTTCAGGAACGCCAATTAATCCAAAAATTTCAGTCAAACGTATCGGTACCAAGGCCCGAGACAAGAGAAGCAGGTTCAGGTGAATCATCTACAGGATAAAACTTAAGTTCACTTGTGTTTTAATGCAGTTGCGTGAAGCTGACATGATGTGGGCCTGTTTAAAAACAGACCACAGTTAAGATCAATGCCATGCGAGGCCTTGCAGCAAAAACAAAATCATCAATATAGGCCTGTGTCGATCATAACCTTCACTCCCTCACATGAAGCTGTGAGGAGGGGGGGGTGGATCTGCGTGACACGGACATTCACACGTAATAATTATAACTGCACACACACACACACACACACACACAAAAAAAAAGAGGAACAAAATTAGATATTAGCTGCTTTGCATAGGGATACAGAGGGCCCAGCAGGCGCTGCTGCTGCAGTGACAGGGGTAAAAAACAGGGCTGCACGTTGGCCTCCACCGTGCTTATTATTCATCAGGAAGAGAAGCCATTTAAAATAAATAACACAAAATAAGCGTTAATGTATTTTTTTTCCAAAGCCGTAATGTCTGTAATAGAGGCGCAACTCACTCAGCGTTGAAGCCGTTGACGTGTAGGATCCTCATCTGCTTCACGATGGTGCTTTTTCCGGACTCTCCCGCACCTTCGAAAACAACAACAAAAATATATAAATCCCAAATCAATAAAGGTGACTACAAATATAAGAAAAGACACATTCGGGACGTTAAGGCCCGCTGAGTGYAACCGTGGAGCTTCATCGATACCTCCACCGCCCCATGACATATTATTGCTGTCAAAACGGGGGCTACGTGTTCGGCGGAGGGTTAGCATACATGTCGGTTAGCCGCTACATCCACAGCAACGTACCCAGCAGTAAGAGCCTGTGTGTGGCTTTGTACGCTTGTCTTTCCTTCTGTAGCTGCTTCTCGATCTTTTTATTAGCTTCTCGTTGCGCCTTTTCGTCGATGCGTTGATCTTCTGTCTTGCTGTTGCCCAAACAACCCATCTTCCGTCACCCCTTTTCCTTGTGGAATCGGTAAAAAAAATAAAAAAAATAAAAACAAAAATACCCGAAATGATGCAGCGGATTAAAATTTTTTTAAAACAGGATAACAGCAGAATGAGTCTACTGTAAAATAAAACTTTTTAAAAAATGAGGGGAAGGGGAGGGRAAAAAAAGAGAAAATCTCTGCGAGGCTTCTTCTTCTTCTCCGACCGAGGGAGGAATAGGTTCCCCCCCGTTACAATTCCGCTTCAGCCGCAGCCAACCGACATCCGAACCGACCGAGGCTCGCTTCCAACGAAGAAACGTAAAAAAATAAAATAAAAAAATAGGAAGAGAGAGAGAAAGAGAGGGGGGGGATTTTGATTTCTGGGAATCCAGTCAACTGTTCCTATCACGTCTCCAGCCCCTCTCCTCTCCTCTCCTCTCTCTCGGTGGCTTCTTTCTTTTTTTTCTCTCTGAATTTCTACCCGTGTTTCTGCCTCTTTAACTCAGCACTGCCTCTCTCTGTGGCACCAGGAAGTAGCCGCGGACCGTGGAGGTGGAAAACAGACGACCTCACTGTAAACGACCGGCGAACGGGTCGCGTTTTATGACGACCCGCCGGAGCCCAGATGTAGCCCTCCCCAGTCCAAGTAACCAACTAACAAGTGAAAAATATAAAAAAGATAAATAAACTTAAAAACGCTCAACCGGCCACCGTACTCCACCAGAGGGGCTGGGCTTCCAGGTTGTGATGGCCCTGACCCAGTCTCAATGTATTTACTGTTTTTATTTCATTTTTTAAATACACTGTTGCAATAATAAATATTCCCATATACATATATTAAAACTATTTATTTATTTATTTATTTATAGTCAGCTAATASCAGCGCACATTTTGTTTTTGTAGTGGATTAGCATTTTTTGCTAACTTTGAAAACTCTTAGTGGACTTTAAGTTTCCATTAAATTAGGTTTGTCAGATTAAAGTTCACTACCAGCTAAACCAGTGGTTCCTAAACTTTTTTTTTTATCTTCTGACCCACAAAATATCCATGGCAAAAACTTGTGACCCCAAATATTAC